ACCAATTCTGCAACTACTCAAGAATTTGCCAGCATTTTATGGAACCCCGAGGTTCATTATAATGTTCACAAGAGCACTTCACTGGTCAATATCCTGAGCCAGATCAATCCAATCCATATCATCCCATCATATCGCTCTCTAAAATCCATTTTAATATTGTCCACCCACCTACTCATTGGTCTTCCCAGTGGTCTCTTTCCTTCTGACTTTCCCACCAATAACCTATATGTATTCTTCATCTCCCCCATTCGTGCTACATGCCCTGCCCACTTCCGCAACTCATCAGATAAAGACAATGCACACTTCTATTTATTTCCTCGAAACTTTAATGCAGTCAGTGATGAAGTCATGCAGCGCAGACGGACGTACACGTCAGAGCACTGACATACCTAGCGACGCATAATACGAGTATTGGCAGCCGTGTTTGGTGTTTGTGTTTGTGTTTATGGTGGGCAGATCTGCAGTATGGTGGGAGACACAAACCAAACGTGAATCCCCCACGCTTTTTAACCTTTAAGTATATTCCGATCCAAAAAAAATGTACCGTCTTAAATGTTATCTGCAGAAGTACGGGGTGAATAGTCACCATCACCGAGCAGGTTAGCGCAGCAGTAACGCTCGTAGCCTCGTATTCTGTAGGAGCTCTGTTCGCAACTCGGCCGGGACATCGACACTCCTGACTCAGAATTGTCGTGATATTTTCCAGTCTCTCCAGGTCGCGGATTCGATTCCCGATGAGGTCATTGGATTTTTCAATTGACCTAATCCGGCCGGCACGTAAGGCTGACAGTTTCACCGCCATCTGTGAGCCGATTATTTACAAAATGTAGCAGCCTCGACGTCTCACCGGACACTGCATACACCCTAGACTTATATTCGGCAATTAGTCGGTTCTAACCTCTGCTGAGGTCGTTCGTGGCGTCCCTCAGCGAGTGTATATGTTGAGACTAATGTCCGATAGTGCATTCAAGTCTCCTTGCTCCAACTGCATGTATTGTTTCGCAGATTCCAACACCAAAATTAACCGATATCTGTTGGACATTTCTGGAGACTAGACAGCTTTACCTTTTTTTTATTGCTAGTGGGGTGGGAATAAGTCCCTTGTACTGCGGCCACTTCTGGCCTATTGTACCAGCCCCAGATGATAGGTGAGGGTGATTGTGGAACAATTGGTGGAATGAAGATTGGCAGGGGAAACCGAAGTACTCGGAGAAAACCTTCCCCAGCGCCACTTTGTCCACCACAAATCCCACTTGACCAGATCCGGGATCGAACCCGGGCCGCCGCGGTGTGAAGCCAGCGACTAACCGCTTGAGCTATGGCGCTGGCCAGCTTTAACTTTGTGATGTTAACTGTAGCAACAGTTATTGAGAATACGAGGTAAGTGTACAAGAAGACCTTTAACCGTGTGTTTTTAGCACTTATCGGAATGATATAGATATTGCTGATAAATATCCTTATCACAATTACATGCGTATTTATATGTCCTTGTGTAGTTCTTATCAGTATCTTCATCTAAAGTCTCTATCGAGACTTCGTTCCTTCGTGTATCCAGTCAATGGACGGCGTATGTGGAAAATGTTTACACGATGTACAGAATTGCCGTCAGAGCGTTCAGACGAGTAGACCCATACACACAAAACTCGTTCAGTATGAACCATTAACTCCCGCCATACGAGTTTATAAAGCCCAAATGCCTGGACTGCTGTGTCTCTGATGTCTGTAGAGTCATCCAGTTGGAGGGAGAAAGCAACACAATTGGAAACATCTTTCAACAACTGTTCAGTTATGTTTCCACACAGCATTTCTTTTCGCCGCACAGTGGTGTTTCTTGATAATTACAGATCTTGAATAGTAGCTATGATCTCTTTCTTATTTTATATTACAAGGGAATTTACATGCTTTTCACGTATAATTTCCTTATAGGCCTATGAGATCGACCAAAAATCGTCCCGCGATCGACGCGTTGGTCATGCCTGGTCTAGGCCTATGTACTGAATACTGTGCAATATTTTTTATAATGCCGTTCCAACTGCAGGGGATCTAACGTCGTAGTCGACTGGGTATCATTTCTTCTTCATGTCACGCAATCCTAGGTTAAAATCTCGACCAGTAGACTTGAGATATTTCTTCGTTTTTCTCAGTCCTTCCAGTTCTGGCTTCAAAGGTGAAGAAAGTAAAGTTGTCCCATTAAGCACTTCGCCATGAAGGCGTATGGGGGAGTGGATGTATAGATCCACATTTTCTTGACCTCGGCACTGGTTGAAGGTGAGTGGCCAGCTTCACGCACTGGTCGCTTTACCCCCGGGAAAAAAGCCCCCAGTATCCATTGGATAGGAGGCTGAGGTGGACCCCAGAGTCGGTCTGGACGACGTGGAGAAGAGAAAAATCTTGACCGAAACGGAAATCGACCTCCGATCCCAGTCCTAAACCAGTCGCCATACCGACTGAACTATGCCGGCTGCCAGTGCTGGGACAGTTCCTAAGATTAGGCCACGACCGATTCCTTCGATATTCTAACCAGCTAATTATTTATAGATTAACGAAACGTTAGACGTATACAGTCCGTACAATGAGAGCGTCGTTAAACAAACCAGAGATAAACGAATTGCGTGGGGCATACAGCGACAAATAAGATGGGGAAATGATGATTAATGGCGAGTAGGTAAGAATTTGAAAGGAGGCAGTCGTTGCCAGTCTGAAGGTGCTATCCCGGCACCTCCCTAGAGAGACCGGGATAGCTGGGTGACCAGACTGAAATTCGAGTTGACTAAATTTGTAAATGCAGGCGGGGAGTGATAACCGGTACACTGAGTAGCCTGAAGTGTCCTGTGTTGCACATGAACTCACCAGGAACGGAAGATTTTCGGGGTTGTGTTATGAACGGGTTTTACCCTAGAATCGTGGAAACACAGCGGCAGAGAGCTCTATATGCACTTCATGTATTTGCCACTTACATATTCACGACTATGTAAACATCTCCTGTAACTTGGTGAACGCTGTGAGGTTCAGTGGTTGCTGTCTGCTGCTAGACAAGCCATGATACGGTTAAGTGCCCTCGTCCAGGGCCGGGCAAGATGTCAGTTGCGATTTTCCGGTGGACTGAAAGCTAATTATGGGTGGACCGCCAATGCGAGAGAGAATACAAATATATTTGTTATGTATAAGTTATATAACCTTACAGTGGGGGCACCAGTAGCATAGTTGCTTGAGTCACTATGCTACAAGCCGGAAGGTCGCGGGTTCGATTCCCGATAAGATAATTGGATTTTTCAGTTTACCTAATCCTTCCAGCCGCACTATGACCCTGGGGTCGACTCAGCCTCTAACAGAAATGAGTACCAGTAATCTTCCGAGGTGTAAAGGGCGACTGGCGCGTAAGGCTGACAATCTTACAGCCGTTTCTGAGCAGACTGTCTGGAAAATGTGGGGGCCTCGATGTCTCACAACCGTACGGGCTTCCACGGCCTGTTACAGAGATAGCTTTACCTTAGTTCCATACTATTATCCAAAAACCATTTCTGAACAGGGTCAGTATCACACTGCAAAAGCTTGTCTTTCGTTTAGGGAGCATGATGACGATGATGATGATGATGACGACGACAAGAATTGGAAAGAAGAAAAAGATGTAAGANGAAGAATACACGGCGCCAAAACCCAGAAGACGACTTTCTTCAAGAAAAAGATGTGTTTAATGAAGCTTGGCCCCACATATCGATGGCAGAAAAGTCGTTCCTTGTGGTTATCTTCCACCAGTCGCAACCGTTTCTCACATTCGTCATTCCGTCGTATCGATAGCTACAGACAGCTGCCTCTTTGTCGAGACATTTTCTTTGCCACACAACCTGCGTGCACATGACACTTGGTGGATCCGGACTAGCCATGCGCTGACTGACCCAGACTGCTGAATGCTGACGAAATCACCAGTGAGCTACCCGATTCACCGCTAGGTTAGAAGATTTGCCAACCTCTTCATTTGGTCCAGGCTCGTCTTTGTGAAACCGGAAGTTACGCTGCATGTTGTAAAACACGTACATTATCCTGAGCCACTTCAAAACATCCCAAACTTGTTTTCGCATTTCCTAAATGTCGACGAAGTTAGTGCCAGCTTTAGCGGATAGAGTGTGTCGCGTGGTCAGCGCAAGGAATCTCCACGGGCGTTAATTTCGGTTTTATAGACCGGAACTTTTACATACGGAGATAACATTTGGAATAAAAAAATAAGATGTTTTACTTGTAAAAGTGGAGAATAAACAATCTCGGACGTCTGATGATGGGTGGTGCTCATACTTGGTGATTACGCATGGTCTAACAACCTGACTCTGTAAGAAATACTCAATTACAACCACAACTGAAAGTCCTCTGAAGCTATTTGGATCTTAGATTAAGAGGATATTAGATGATCAATTTAATTTTTATATCTGCTTCTTTCTTCCACGATTTTTACTCCCATAGAAAATCTCATCCACTCCCCCCATACGTACTCATGGCGTAGTGCTTAAGTAGTTAAGCACAGGGACAGCTTTACCTCTTTACCTAGAAAGTCTGTGATTTTGTTAAGTGCCAAGTACCGCAGCTTATCCACAACTCAACGGTAGACGCCAGAAGTTTGGGCCGCTTGTGAGATTTGGGGTTGCCAAGGCGGTGACTGTGAAGAATTCTGTCTTCTGACATGTAATGCCATATAGTCTGGTAGATATCTAAACAAGTTTTGGAGGAATTGTTGCTTCAATATTCAGAGAAGACGAAAATATAGGTAGCACGGAGTCGCATCCCAGAAGGCAGTAGTCTATTGTTTTACTTGCTTACAACGGCTTCCTCCCTTTTCAGTGCACCATTTCCCAATTGTGGTCCATTTTTCTTGTGAGCAGAGTGTATCACTGTGTTACATAAATGCGAAGTCTTGAGTTTGGCTGGCCACGCCTTTGTGCACATTACAATAGCAGTGTTAGTCGAGAAGAAGGCATCATGTACAATGTCGCTGTGTTGCGTTGCTACAGGCCAGATGCTCATCAACTGGTTCGTGTCTGCTTTCCCGGAGGAACACTACCTGCGTCTCCTGTTGACTTCGCAGGATCTGCGTATCCTCGCGGTCCAGTTCTGCACACACCTCTTGGCTGCAGGAGTCCTCCGCCAGATTCCTGACAAGGACGTAACGTTGGAGCCCCTCTTCAGGGTGAGTAACAAACAAACAAACTAACTAACTAACTAACTCCGTGGCCTGTAGTTCGCAAGCGAACTATACCGACCGAGCGACCGTCGCTTGTCGGCGGAGTTAGTGCCAACTTCTACCGGTAGAGGGTGTCACGTGGTCAGCACAACATCCCCACGACTGTTAATCTCGGTTTGCTAGACCGGAGCTGCTATTTCCTTGAAATAGCTCCTCAGTTATCCTCACAACGCTGAGTGGACCCCGTTCCAGACCCACTACTTCTCAGAAAATCTGATAGCACCGGAAGTCGAACCCGGGACCTCAGGATCTGTATCCAGGAACTGTGACCACTATTGGCGAAGTCTCTTTTCCATTTCAGGATCTACTGAAGGAATGCATGCTTGAAGAGTAGTGTCTTCTAGAATGTGACGTCATGCAGTGCGGCACCAAGTTCACCGAAGTTGCAGAGTAACGTACTGCCTCCATCTCTGGGGCAGAAGATATGCTAAGCAAGCAGCTAACAAGAAGCATGCAGCAAGGAAATTTCGGTGAACTTCAACCGCACTACACAGCGTCATGTCCAGAGGACAGTGACCGCTATGAGAACGTGGTACTTTGAATCTGCTCAAAGTGTTGTCCGGCGAGTGTAGGCTAGGGCCACACGAGCGCACAAAATGCGTCTGTTGTAACGAACGTACTTTATGACGGACGTTGCTGAGGACACCACACAGCTGCAGAATGCAATGTGACTTGGACTTGGACTAGTAGAGAGAGAGAGAGAAAGAAAGACCCCATGTGGAGGCGGGGTCGAATACCTCCACCGTGACCCTGCGAGTCGTAGGAGCGACGAAAAGGGAAGTCTCAAATGGCAGACAGTAAAATGTGGTCGCAAGTCCCAAGGGACTAGGACCTGAGAAACACTGCGCTGGCAAGGGCCAGCAGGATATACAAAAGACAGACCCAGATAGGTCGCCCCACAGAAAAAAAGACCGTAACTGTCGAGGAGTAATAAATATCTGGTCATGAGCCCCAGGAAGTTGCTCGATACCAAGATTTACTGACTGACTGATTGATCGTCAGTCGCAATATGACTTTGACTTTGAGTAGAAACTCTGCGACTAGGCAACAAGGAAGCGAAGCGTTTTCCCGTTGTCTGGCTGAGGGTTTATAAGAGAACTACACTGCCTAAGAAGACAGTGGACTCTGAACTCCTGACCCGTGTGGAGGAGGGGTCGAATACCTCCACCGTGACCCTGCGAGTCGTAGGAGGCGACGAAAAGGGAAGTCTCAAATCTGAGACAGTAAAATATGGTCGCGAGTCTCAAAGGACTCGGACCCGAGAAAGACTCGCTGGCAAGGTCCAGCAGCATATATAGAAGACAGACCCGTCTTCTCGTCAGAGAGGACGCCCCACAAAAGCAAGACCGTGAATGTCAAACAGTAATAAATATCTGGTCATGAGCCCCAGATGGGGCTCGACTCCAAGACTTATTGACTGACTGACTGACCGTCAATCGCAATGTCACTTTCACTTTCACTTCAGTAGAGAGGCAGTGTGGAGACTCCCCGTGTGGAGGCGCGGTCGAATAACTCCATCGTGACCCTGCAAGTCGCAGGAGGCGACGAAAATGGAAGTCTCAAATCTGAGTCAGTAATATATGGTCGGGAGTCCCAAGGGACTCGGACCCGAGAAAGACTGCACTGGCAAGAGTCAGGAGCATATAAAAAAAGCATACCCACCCACTTGTCAGAGAGGGCGGCCCACAAAGACAAGACCATAACTGTCAAACAGTAATAAATATCTGGTCATGAGCCCCAGATGGGGCTCGCCACCAAGACTTACTGCCTGACTGATCGTCAGTCCCAATGTGACTTTGACTTTGAGATAAGCAGAAAATTTTCACAACAGTGGAAAAGGCGAAGCACGACGCAGGAAATATAAGAGGCTTAAACTTAGCAGCGGTCAAGCATACGACCATTCAAGTGACTATACTGCTGTTGTAGCAGGAGCTACTAATGATCTGCTCTACTGAAACTGGACCGGCCGAGGCCCTGTATATGTTGTATATACATACGTTTATTAGCATGTACATTGTAACAGTACATACTGACAACAGACTTATTACTGTTGACTATGACTCTGGCAAACGACAGACATGTCCTCTCGTCAGAGACAGCGCCCCATGTCAACAAGCCTGCAAATATCTGGCAGTAACAAAAATCTGGTCTTAAGCCCCAGATGGTTACTTTATTCCCAGACAGAACAGGCAACTGACCATCAGTCGTAATATAAATTTGACTTTGACTTTGAGATCAGCAGAACTGAGTTGAAGGTAGCCTGTGAAGAAAAGACTTAGCATGTGAAAAGAAGACCTTATGCGTGCTGTAGTTACAGTGAGACTGTTATAAATCCGTTGCCAGGATACGACTAGTGCAGACTGAGAAGACTAGGCATGTCATAGTGATTCAAGAAGTTGGTAGATTAGTGATAGCGCTATAATGTATTGTGATTACAAGTGACTGTACAAGGAATGATCTCTAAATCCAACCATTCATTCCAAATTCCGTTGTTATTGATCCCGCCTATAAATTGTGACAATATAAATCAAAGAGTCCCTAGTTTACCTACTGCTTAGATGGAATCTTGCAATTCTTCTTGAAAGAACTCTGTACACAGAAATATGTAAAGGAAGTGAAGGAAGCCTATCACAGTGGCTGCTCAGTCTAAGGCACGAAGTATCTTGACCCACTCAAACACTGGGATTGTTGGTTCGAATCCCACTCGAGGCATGGATGCCTCTCTACACTTAAATCTGTGTGTGTGTTGTCCTGTGTAGGTAGCAGCCTTGCAGCCATCGTCATCAAGTACTACATATGGAAGTGACTGTTTCAGAGATATCAAGATATTGGTAGTCGGAAAAGGTATAGGAACAAAGGACACAGCTACTAAAGGACATGTTCACACAAGCGCAACAAGGGCTGCGAACAATGAGTGTACTCGGCACAAAGCTACAAACACAAATATAATTTGTTTGTCTGCAGTGTGATATCTCTAACGTTGATTGGCTTTGTCAAAAAAAACATAACTTATTATTGCAGGCAATGTAGTAGCTCTTTGGAAATATATCTTTACAGTATTTTAATTTGCCTGCACAGAATACCCAGAACTTGACTCAGTGTTTTAGAAGGCTGTATTTACTTAATCATTACACGTATTGCAAAAAAGACACTGTAATGAATGTTAACTCAAAAAGTTTTTATTTGTAAAATAATTTGTTTTTGTGGTAAAAGTTACTGTGAGGTGTGATTTACTTAATAACAAAGTTATATGATCTTTCTTACTTACCAAAGCCATGTTTACTGGGAACATTTATCTTGATATGCTGGAAATATCACCCTTGTGCAGTAGGAGGAAGACATAGTTGAAGCTTTTCAGAAAGATGGAGCATTTTTTCATTAGAGCAGAATTGTTCATGATGCTCTCAGTGAGAGGTTTTCTGGCTGTTGGATAGAAGAGCCAGTTTGATCGCTTGGCCTCAGAGATTGCCAGAGTTCACTCTCCACGGCTCTTTCTTGAAGGATGGCAGAAAAGCCCTCTATGGATGTAATGGGCAAGTGGCAAACTTATATAGCGGTTAAATGATCACTGCAATTGCTGTCATGTGAACTGTCAGGATGCTGAAGTCAGTAACTGGCTAGACACTGTCGTGTAAAGAAACGGATGCAGGTGGCAATGTATTGGCAGAAAGCTTCTGAGGTAATCTTCATTTTAGTGTTTTGTATCTACAGTTCTTTTGTTCAGCTGTCACTCTTCCTGTCTGGGTTCATGTAGCTCCACCTCCTTGCTATGTTCCCCATTATTTCTTTGCATTAACTTCATCTTTCCATGTACCTGTATCCATCCATTGTATTTACCTGAAAGGAATGATTTAAGTGGTACTGTATTTCTGAATATATGGAGATATCGAAGAAGCTGAAAATAGTTGCCAGCATGATTTGTTTTAGAATATGGATGCTTGTAGAAAAAAAAATTATTGTCAGCAATGTAATTTATTCAAATCAGAATGCCATTTTGGATCTTCCATGAAATGTTATTCCATAAACACAAAGAATATTAGAAAGCAGATGAATTTTCACAGTAGGTGTGAAACTTTTTGATACTGAAAATCACTGTCCAGCAATTAATACCTTAATCGTCTACCTTTTTCCTCTTCACTTTTTCCTTTATCTGTTTCAAATTTTGTCTTCTTCCTTCATTTTTCCTCGAAAACAACAAAATAAGTTACATCTTTATACTTCAGATGGCAGAGTTTCGAATATAGACCTGCCACTTGTGTAAATATCTACAAATTAATGGTGCATGAGATAGACATAACATACATATAAAAATAGTCTTAAACAATCCTCTAATTTATATGTATATATTCTTAACGATATTGTAATAAATAAGAAATATAGGCACTTCTAAACTTTCCTGTAGCCATTGAAATATACATTTATAACACTGTAACAATGAACAGGTAATTTAATTATGTTATTTCAGTATAGCTTACTTAAAAGTAAATGCCCAAGGACGCTTTTGCTATTCTTGAATAAATTAACATTAAGCATAGCTTGGTATACAGAATCACAGACAGCACAGCTGTGAACTTCAAATTGGAATTAAAATTTACTCTTCTGGTCTTTGCACTACTTTAAAGCCTTGCTATTCTTTCCAGATCAGTGTTGGATATCAGAACTTGGCAATAAGTGAATTTTGGATGATAATTGTCTCTTTTATATGCATTCTAATTTGGCGCACTTGATTAATGGAATGAGTAATGAATGAACGTCTTAATGGAAATTTTAATGTGTATTATAAGTATTTACCTCATTTAATTGCAATATTACTGTATTATTGTATAGATATTATGTATTCTAACTTGACTTGTTCCATATCCTATGGTGTCTCACCTGTACTGGATTTACGGAATGTAAATAAATTCAATTCAATTCAATACTTATATATACCCTGGGTTATATTAGGAAGCGTCCAGAGTCAGATTGGTTATTGATGAAGACATGTTTATTGGTTGCAGCCTGATTTGATGTATTACTGGTCCCATGCAGAGGCTCCAGCTGCTGTCCCATCCACACCTGGACGGCTGTCATCCCTTGCCTGGCCACCCACAAGCCCACTTGGTTTCTCTGTGGCTGCAGAAATGGCCAGTGCAGTTGTAAATCGACCAGGAGCTCGTTACACAGAAGCAGGTGTGTACAATATTACGTATCATATAAGATTACTGAGTCAATTTGAATTTACTGAAAACCATTTAAACTTGAAGTGTCAGAGTCAGTACAGCATTAAACTTAACTTTTGAGATATCAGATTGATCTTGACATTGGAATGCCTTTGAGGGTTATTTATATGAATGTATGACACATCAGATTCAGTCTGTAACATATTGTTATTCCACAAATAATCAGTAAAAAAGATAAAAAGGTAAAGCTATCTCTGTAACAGGCCAAGGAGGCCTGTAGGGTTTTGAGGCATCGAGGCTCCCACATTTTCTGGACAATCTGCTCACAGATTGCAGTGAGGTTGTCAGCCTTAAGTGCCAGCCACCCTTTACAACCACGAAGATTCCTGGCAATCATTTCAATTACAGGCTGAGTTGACCCCAGGGCCACAGGGCAGCTGGAAGATTTTGACCTTCCCGCCAGTCACACAACCACTTGCTGTTGCATGCTGGGCTTAGACCATTAGCCATTTTTGTAAAGTTTTTCTCAACATATCAGAGTCCACCTCTTGATTCTTAAAGTGGCTATGAATATCACGGTAATAAACAAATAAATATATAGATATACATACACATGTATGAACTGCATGTTTACTTTCTATGCATGTGTATTATCTGAAGTCTTCACAGCTCTAATTATTGCCTTTATACCAATGGTAATTATTACTCATTTAAACAATTACTTGCTTTGATAATCAAGTTTTAAATTTGTCCCCTGTTAAAAAAAAGGAAATATAAAATTTTCTGTAAGTTGTCACTCTTGGGCAAATATTTTACTAGAATGTGAATTCTAGGATTTAAACTGAGCATGACAGACAATTGATATGCACCTTTAACAGATCCCACACTGGCAGAAGTCTTACAGTGGGACAACATACCTGTAATTTCATAGGTGGGAAGACCTCACATGGTAGTTTAAAAGTGAAATGTACAGTATTTTTGTAAGCAAAATTCCTTTCATGTAGCTTCTGGCAATTCAAGTATGAATGGTGCACCAGTAACTGGTAGTGTGGCATCAGAATTGCTTTCATGCTGGTAGTAGGGGGATTAGAAATTGTAATGTGATAGTACACTGCTATGCAATTAAGCCATCTTGGGTGATAATCTGTGTGAAGATAGAGTTAGTATATAACAATTCAGAGACTGTCCCTATCTCCACCCTCAGGGGTTGTTGATATTGTGAGTGACATATTTGCACATTGTTTCTGTCCTCAAAGGATATGCTCTCAGAACCTGGGCGTGTCACATCACAACAGGCCATCAACCCCTGATGACAGAGAGGGTCTCAAAAATATTGCATACCAATTCCATTTTCACAGAGATAAGACTTATTTACGTACAGAAATCATGAAAGCTTCAAATCTTATGTACTGCTGTATGTTTGGGTGGAATTCTGGTGTCTGAGGTGGGTAAGATGATGTAAAATATAATCCTAATTTTCAGAAAGCTCAAAAGCTTTCCATGACTCTTAGGGGTACTCTTATATTCACCCGGAAGTAGACCAGAAAGTTTTCGCAATTATTATGGCATGTTTTGGTCCAATATGAGAATAAAGTAGCACAGAGTCTCACACTTTCTTCTGGCTTCCACCATCTTTAACTAATCTCTCTTTGCTGACTACTGTTGAGCGTTGTGGTATAACAAAGGCACTCCTAATTCATATTCAAAATATTTCGGGTTTGATTCTTGAATCTCAAACAGTGTACTAGCTGAGATTTTTATGGATTTCTTCAGTTTTGTCAGACAATAATACTTTTAGGTTATTTAATTATGTTGTAAATATAAAGGTTCCAATTACATTGAAAGCTAATTCAGTGAGAGAGGAAGATAATCATGAAATGTAAGTGTGTAAGAGTTTGGAAGGAGGAAGCATGGCTTATTTGTAGGTACTACCTCAGCATTTACTGTAGAGGCTGAGCAGCAATAATAAAAACTTACATCAGAATAATCAGTACTTTACACCAGTCTACTCAGTAAATGAAATGGCAATGAAAAGATCAGAGCTTTGCTGCTTCACACCAGTGTATAGTCATCTAATCCACATTTTATTAGGATCAGTGAGGTCTGATTTCTTGTAGTTTTGCTAATTTAAGAATTTCACTGCTCACTTGATCATATTTTCTTTTCAGTTTAACATATTAATCTCCAGGCACTGAAATGCTAATTTAAGCCCATGAACCAAGTTATCATGTGTAAACAGACAAACACTAGCTTTTCTGATTGGAAGTACAGATATGTCTATTGATTTGTTAAAGATTTAAACAATTTTTTCTCCTGAAACCTTGTGCAATAATTGAAGAAAACTGAGAAAAGGTAAAATATTTGTCTACCTGAAACATTGTGATTCATTATTGGTGCTGAAAAGACCATTTTTGTTTGAGCAGTACAATTACTCTTGACGGTAAATATGTGAAATCTATCCTAAACTATTCATATTCCATGTTGAGCACTAAGCAAGTTGGTTAATTGCTGACAAATTGCTATAAGGCTGGTTTTTGTTGCTTGGAAGAGTTAACATGTTTGATATATGTGTTCAGTCACAACTTGTGCTATTTTGTGGTAATGTATGATGACTTGATAGAGGCTCCTGGGAAAGGTTCTGCTTCCACTCCAGCAACAGATGCCAGGTCACCAGACAAGGTTGTCAGCAAGCCAAAAGGGGAAGAACCAGGTGATCATTTTGATGCACCTGCACTAATGCACCAACTTTTGTTTCTTAGCAGTAGACGTAGTAGTAGTTCTTGTCTGAAGTGTTATTGGGTGTTGTGAATGCACGTGTATTCATGTACCTAATTTTATAATGTTATATTTTAGCGTCCTGTTGCACTGATTTTCATCCATTATATGTATACAGTGGCCGTCTTGTAGTGCACTCAATTTCACCTGTCACTTCACAACATGTTTCGGCAACATAGTGCCATCATCAGGTGTCCCAATTACGTCAATGTATTGCATTGTTTGCCCTCATATGTTTTCACAACACCATTTAAAAAGTATTCAAAAAGTCCATATTTGTCAACTATGATAAATTTACACTCGCTAAAACTTGTTAAGATAATTCATCTTATTTGTCTTAATTAAAACTTGCATGTGTTTCGTTCACTACAGGGTCGTTTTTCTTATTTTCTGTGTAAACCGCGTCTTGTGATGTGTGTTCCCTTCTTAGCTGTGAGTGTTGTAATCAACACTCGCACTACTCGTTCACTACGGGGTCGTTTTTCTTATTTTTTTTCTTTTTTTTTCTTACGACCCCGTAGTGAACGAACCACATGCAAGTTTTAATTAAGACAAATAAGATGAATTATCTTAACAAGTTTTAGCGAGTGTAAATTTATCATAGTTGACAAATATGGACTTTTTGAATACTTTTTAAATGGTGTTGTGAAAACATATGAGGGCAAACAATGCAATACATTGACGTAATTGGGACACCTGATGATGGCACTATGTTGCCGAAACATGTTGTGAAGTGACAGGTGAAATTGAGTGCACTACAAGACGGTCACTATATACATATAATGGATACCTAATTTTAATTTACATTTATTGATTTATTCTTTCATTATTTGCTGGTGTTGTTTCAGCTGCATATATTACCTGACACTGAATGAAATAAAATGGTAATTGTGATTGCTGAGTTGGTTAAACATTCTGTTATGGCCTGTATGAAAGTACTGCTCCAGCATTTGTCTGGGGAGACTGAGTAAAACTGAAAACACTAGGTGAGGATGGGTGTAGGCCTGTTAAGATTTGAACTGAGTATCTCCAAAGTACACATCTAGTGTGTTATCATTACATGAACATTCTTTGTAATTTGCTTCTATGATGAGAAATTGAGGAGTTGTATTTTTAAATAGCTGATGGTGCTGTGGAATAATGTTTTCCAAAATGTAGGGCACAAATAGTAGATGGTATCTAGGATATCTATAGGCATATATCAGAAATAACCTTGGAATAGCCTTGTCTTGACCTGTACATGAAGCAGGCACCTTCCAAATACAGGTTAGACATGTACACTGGGGTTAAGTTCTTAGGAAAGAATTTCTGAAACAAGTAACAAAACTCTTAATAAATCTGATATTATATTAAAACCCCATACCATGAAGATAAAGAGGGAGAATGAAGGCAAAACTCAATCCACTTGTGGGAATATCCCACATACTAACACACGCTTTCGCCAGTCCAACAGACAGCACTCAACTCCTAGTCAATATCACATTGCTGCCAGCACTCGTATTTATACAGCACTCGCTGTCCAGCCCACATTTACATAATCACATGCGCTAGCCAATCAGTGCTCACAATTGCAACTGCAACTGTAGCTCTGCCCAGCAAGCTGCCACAACCCTCCAGCAACCACGCTCTGCGACCAGGCAGCTAACATAGTTGCCACAACTCTCCAGCAACCTCACTCTGTGACCAGGTAGCTAATGTAGTTGCCCCAACTCTCCAGCAACCGCGCCATAGGCAGCTGTTCCCACAGGCGCACACAGCACCACATTACCGGCCGGACAAACCAGCTGAACAGCCGTAAAGACTTGGCATACCACAAAGGAGCAAATTCTACCAGCCCACTCACGGTGAAACAAACTGCCCTTTTCAGGGCCAGCCAACTTTTTACAGTTCACATAGCTTCGCAGCTATTCTGTACATTCAATTTATACAATTTAATACATACAATTGTTACAGATTTACATGGTTGTCTTTTAGAACATCGACAATCCCACACACACTTGTACTATGGTACAAGCTCTGGCCAATTTACTTATGGCGGAATGCTTTTGGTGTCTACCAGTTAGGAACAGATGGACCTTAGAAATGTTCTGAATATGCTGATGAAAATGTTTCCATTCTTGCTACTGAGGTCCACATGTACTGTCACTGATATTGTATCAGCAAATTAGGATGCTTTGAGGAAGTGCACACAGCTTGACAGGTCAGCTGTTGCTGACAGAGCATTTACATCTCCCCTTCAAAGCTTGTACATGATCAGTAAGGAATATTAATATGACTCTAAATGTATGTATATATAAATACTTTTTTCTTATTTTGAATGTGTTTGCATATGTGCACAAGGCAGTCCTTGTCACATTGTAGCATGCCTAGCTACCATATTTAAAAAAAAAATGTTTGCATTTCTCACAAAACTAATTCAAGTAGGAGATTAAATTTTATGGTCTGAGATGCATAAACACGTTAATTCTATTTGGAATAAAGAAGAATTGCCTGGACAGTGGAAGGAGTCTATTATTGTACCAATTTATAAGAAGGGTGACAGTAGTAGTAGTTGTGGGATATCCCTGCTATCAACTTCATACAAAATTTTATCCAATATCCTCCTTTCAAGGTTAAGTCCATATATAAATGAAACTATTGGGGATCATCAGTGTGGGTTTTTACATAACAGCTCAACTACTTACAGATCTTTTGCCTTCATCAGATACTGGAGAAAGAATGGGAGTACAATGGCACAGTACATCAGCTATTCACAGACTTCAAGAAAGCCTATGATTCAGTTAGGAGGAAAGTATTGTACAACATTCACATAGAGTTTTGGGTACTCATGAAAGAGTCTGATTAAATTGTGTTTAAAAGAAACATATAGTAAAATCCGTATAGATAAATATTTGTCTGATAATTTTTCTATCCAAAATGGTCGAAAACAGAGTCTTTATCGCCACTGCTTTCCAACTTTGCTTTATAAAATGCCATTTGGAAGGTCCAGGAAAATCAGGTGAGACTGAAATTAAATAGGACACATCAGCTGCTGATGTGAATCTACTGGGTGATAATGTAGATACCATAAAGGAAAACACAAAATCTTTACTTGATTATGAAAAAGTTAAATAGTTCCATCCAGTGGGACTGGTTAAGATTTTTTTTTTTTCCGTATTTCAATTATTCATGACCTTACATGTTTCGGTCTTCAGAGACCATCTTCAGAGGGACCCCTTTACATCAATACAGTTAGAAGCCACTATCACAGTACATGTTGTAGAAGTCAAAACACATACATACAATGTAAATAATATACAATTGGGTGTAAAGTCTAAAGTCTTTACAACTACAGCGGCTGTTCCAATACATTAAAATATTTATAGTCAGTTTGATAAGATTCTATTGGAATTCATAAACCAAGCTGGTTCGTGTCGTCCCTCTTATTATTTCTATTGACAGGGGCTGAATGTGTGCCACCCTGTCGTTCTCGAGAAGAGGGTTCTGCGGATATATTATGGGTATATTGTTTTATTTCAGCAATCCTATTATGTTTTGTGAAAACGTTTGTTATTTTGTCCTACCTTTAATGTTGTCTTGTATGTGTTTGTGGCCCGCTGTGTTGTTTTTACTGTTCTAGGTTGTTTTGTACTGCATATTTATACTCCTTGTGTCTATGACATTAGTGTGGGCGTGTACTGATGTTGTATTATGAGATCGAAAATATTATACTGGTTGTCACTTTCCTTTGTGTGTTTTTGTTCTGCTGTCAATTTGTTGAGCTTATTAAAGTGATATATATGGACATTTTCTTTTGTATTCATGATGCTCCCTTTTTCGGCATTCTCAACAAATCAAATTCTTTAATTGACTCTAGTAAAGAGGTTGGTCTAGAAGTAAACATGGAGAAAACTAAGTATATGTTGCTGTATCATCACCAGAATACAGACAAAATTATAACATGAAGACAGCTAACAAATGCCTTGACAGTGTGGCACAGATCAGGTATTTAGGAACAACACTAACAAATCAAAATTTGGTTCAGGAGGAATTTAAAAGCAGATTGAATTCAGGTAATGCTTGCTACCATTCATTCCAGACCCTTTTGCCTTCTCATCCGCTGTGGAAAAATGTAAAAATTTGAATATACAAAACTACAGTCTTTCCTGTGGTTCTGTATGGGTGTGAAACGTGGTCTCTGACATTAAGGTAGGAACCTAGACTGAGGGTGTCTGAGAACAGGGTGCTGAGAAGAATATTTGGACCAAAGAGAGATGAAATGACAGAAGGTTGGAGAAAACTGCATAATGAAGAGCTTCATAACTTGTATACTTTGCCAAGTATAATTAGAATGATCAAGTCTAGGAGGATGAGATGGGCAGAGCATGTAGCATGAATGGGGGAGAAGATGAATGCTTATAGGATATTAATGGGAAAGCCAGGAGGAAAGAGAATACTAGGAAGACCAAGACATAGGTGGGTGGATAATAGTAAAATGGATCTTAGAGAAATAGATAGGGTGGTATGGACTGGATTGATCTGGCTCAGGATAGGGACCAAATGGAAGGATTTTGTGAGCACAGTAATAAACCTTAAGATTTCATACAATTCTGGGAAGTTCTAGAGTAGCTGCATGACTGGCGGTTTCTCAAGAAAGTCTCAGCTCCATGAAGTTAGTTGGTTACTTTCAAGTTATTTCTTTTAGTATCATAACTTCAATTTGTAGGCTTGGCCAGGTGAGTAATTATATACTAGCCCATCACTTTGAGCCATTTTTGTCATCCCATAATAACAGATGACTATAGAGAGCAATATTTTATTGTCTATTTAGTTAGCCTTGTTTACATTTTTCAATTTATTTCTTGTAGTATCATAACTTCAACAGATAAACTTGGTCTAATTGTGTTATTATATTTATTATTTTATTTATGCAAAGTAACTGGTGTAATCTGCTCCTCAGAATTTCAACAAGTGGTGATGGGTCTGAAGCGAGAGCATCGGGAGAACATTGGCAGGTTATCACGAGACCAGGAAGTTGCTTTGTTCAATGTGAGGGGTGAACATGCACAGCGACTCATTGAGGCTGATGAGAAGATTATACAACTTCAGGAGACTGTGGCTAAGCTACAACAAGAGCTGGATGGGTACAAAACTCTGTCAGATATACAGGTGAGGCCAAAAGCGACAAAAGTTATGTTCATTGGGAAGATAGAAAATATTGGATGAATGTGTTTGTTCCAGTTATATTCTAGGCGATTTATAGTATACATAGAGGAAACAATAAATGAACTTCAAGGAGTAGAATTATTTTTCAAAAGCAAATAGCCATTTAGTCAGTATGGGCAGTGGCAGGTGAAGTGGGCAAATTAGCATACGTGTCCCTTGGACTTAAAAAAAATGAATCAAACTGAAGAATGAAGGCAATATATCAAATACTAATAACAAAAAAACCATGCAAGAACATCTTTCATTTTGCATTCAATATATTGTCATGTGTTAAATGCCTAGGCACATGGTTTGGATCAGTAGTTGGCTATATTGGACTCCTAAGTCAAAGTCAAATTTATTTTATTATCGATTGTCAGTTGGCTAGTCTGTTTTGATGTCAAGCCCCATGTGGGGCCCAAGACCAGATTTTTATTACTGTCTGACAGTTGTGGGTTTGTTGATGTGGGACGACCTCTCTGACTAGAAGATGGGTCTGTCATTTACAGTAGCTGTTGGCCCTCGCTAGCACAGTTATTCTCAGGTCCAAATCCTATGGGACTCATAACCATATTTTACTGTCTCAGATTTGAGACTCCCCAGCCTGGAAGGCCAGGTCCACGTATTTATATCCCCTGGGAACAAGGTGGCCCACTTATACCCCCGGGCAACCGGTTCATTTTTTATTGCCTCCTAAGACTCATATCAAGAAATGTGGGCACGCAGTAGCGTAGTTGGTTGCAACACTATGCTACAAGCCGGAAGGTCACAGGTTTGATTCCCCAATGAGGTCATTGGACTTTTTCAATTTACCTAATCCTCCCAACCGCACTATGGCCATGGGGTTGACTCAGCCTCTAAGAGAAGTGAGTACCATGAATTTTCCTTGGGGGTAAAGAGTAGCTGGAGCATAGGGCTGACAATCTTACCGCCATTTGTGAGCTGACCGTCTAGAAGATGTGGGGACCTCGACATCCCAGAACCCTATGGGCCTTCAGGGTCTGTTACAGTGATATCTTTACCTTACCATTTTACCATTATGTCAAGAATTGTCCATAGGGAACTGCACATATAAGAATAGCATGTGTTTTCATTGAAGCTAGGCTGGCTCTGTAGCCAGATAGTGTGAAATCTGACATGTTGTTGCTAGTTACAGTTGCCATGCAATACATGAAAAAAGCAGCAAAAGGACTTTTCAGTGAGCCACCTTAAACTGATACATATTAATGTGCACAGTGCATGAAACGATTCTAGTCCTTTATCCAAATGTAGACATGTTAGTTGCTAATGGGAAGAAAATCTATGTGAAATTGTCAGCTAGAAGAGAGCTTCTTAAAAATGGAACTCCAGACATATCATTACCCCAATCTCCAGTAATTACATGTTGGGGAACCTGGCTGTATGCCAGTGCATCGTGCGGAGAATTTTTAAATCTCTTGTTCTGTGGCAAATGAGGACAAAAAAAATGATGCCTCATCTATTGCAATATTGCAAGAAATATTTAAGCACTCAAGTGAACTGAACTTGCTAAAAACAAATTTTGCCCACATTTTTGCAAAATTCAGTTCTCTGCCATGGTCTATAAGAAAGGTGGAAAAGACCAAATATTTTTGATCAGAAGCAATAAAATAAATCAACAGAATTCCAGGTAAAATGAACAGAATCAACAGCCCAGAGGCTGATGCAATAGAAAAAATCTGTTCATGTCTCAGTAAAAAAAAAAAACCGGTATAGAGTCATGTGTTTGATTTCATATTTATTGGAAGGGGAAGACTAGTTGAGTCTGAAGACCCTAAAGAATTGAATGTTACAAATATGCAAGGCTGGTATCATGTGATGTGGAGGTACATTTTCTCAATATAAATCAATTTTCCATGACTGACACAGATTTATAGCAAACAACTTGAAGATGGCTTTTGTGGTTCATTGCAACAGTGCTTCACTTTCTGTATGAGATACTAACGACTTTTAGTTAGTGCTTTGTGTAATCATTGGTACCTCTTTGAAAAAAAATATTTTCAACATTTTAATAATATTTCTGATTTTTAAGGCATATAAAAATAAATAAGTTCCAATTTTTAGCACCAAAAAATCCATTCCCTAATAATAAATTAAACAGTCTGCTTTTACTGCAATTCTTTAAGTTTTGTTAATAATTTCTTCATTATATTCCACAGTCCTTGACAGAGAAGGCAAATGCTGACTTTGGCTCTCCAGCAACAGAACAGAGAGCGCTGCCCTCCATAGAGCTCATGGAGTCAAAGATGTCAATATCAGCCACAGGGCTGGCAAAGTCAGGATCAACAGAACCACTGTCAGTGTGTGATAGGTCAACAGATACCTTAGATCTGCTTCAAATTCCCTCTCTGATCTCAGCTGAATCAACAATAATACAACCAGGTCCCACAAAGGCACAGGATATGTCAATATTACACACTGTTCCTCATTCAGAATTGAAACCAAGTTCAGAACAATCAGAACCCATTACACAAACAGTGCACTCAAAAACCAATATAAGTGAAGATACTTCTCCAGTTCCTCAAATACGCAGTGTGAAATGTGAGGAACTTGAACCATCACAAAAGCCTGAAACAGAACCACTGACCACAAGAAGTGAAATGCGTGGACCATGCTCACCTCCACCTCCAATTCTGGATACAGTTGGGCCAGTACCAGCACCACCTCCCATGCCTGGAATGGGTCCTCCACCATCACCACCACCAATGCCTGGAATAGGGCCACCACCCCCACCCATGTCTGGAATGGGACCACCAGCCCCACCCATGCCTGGAATGGGGCCACCGCCACCTCCACCACCCATGCCTGGAATGGGGCCACCACCACCACCCATGCCTGGAATGGGGCCACCACCACCACCCATGCCTGGAATGGGGCCACCTCCACCACCCATGCCTGGAATGGGGCCACCACCACCACCCATGCCTGGAATGGGGCCACCTCCACCACCCATGCCTGGAATGGGGCCACCACCACCACCCATGCCTGGAATGGGGCCACCACCACCACCCATGCCTGGAATGGGGCCACCTCCACCACCCATGCCTGGAATGGGGCCACCACCACCACCCATGCCTGGAATGGGGCCACCTCCACCACCCATGCCTGGAATGGGGCCACCACCACCACCCATGCCTGGAATGGGGCCACCACCCCCACCCATGCCTGGAATGGGACCACCTCCACCACCCATGCCTGGAATGGGACCACCACCCCCACCCATGCCTGGAATGGGGCCACCACCACCACCACCACCCATGCCTGGAATGGGGCCACCACCACCACCCATGCCTGGAATGGGGCCACCACCCCCACCCATGCCTGGAATGGGGCCACCACCACCACCCATGCCTGGAATGGGGCCACCTCCACCTCCAATGCCTGGAATGGGGCCACCACCACCACCACCTCCAATACCTGGAATGGGAGGAGCACCATCAGCAGCCCCTGCATCAGGTACTGGATGTCCATTACCATTCCCCACGCCACCTGCAGGAGGATGGATGGCAAACAGAGCTAGTGAGTACTCATTAAACATGATTGCACTTTTCTTGTCTTTTATTTTCTAAATAACAATCATAATCTTTCAAAACAGAAACAATGCTTAAGGAATTTGATTGTCATTTACATATTTTGAAACCTTTCATCTGCACTTGTTACTGGTTAGTGAGACATGCTCTGATGGTACTGGATGTTTCAGTCAAGTGACTGGCACTCCTGCTTCACATTCAAGAGGTCCCAGAGACTGGCTGTCTTGAAGGATGTTTTATTTGGTTTTCTTCTCTCCTTCCAGACCTCTATTAAACCTCAAATTAGGCCATGACAGCTTATTTTCATATCCTGTCCAATTCATTTCCGGTCTAGAAAACTGAAATTAACGGCCATAGGGATTCGTTGTGCTGACCACGCGACACCCTCTCTCCGCAAAAGTTGGCACTAAACTTCGCCGACAAGCGGCGGTCGCCCGGTCAGTATAGTTCGCTTGCAGGCTGAAATCACAGAGTCCAATTCATTATTTATTATCATCCTACAATTTGACCCTATATGGTCTGAGCTACTAAGAATGTCATTAAATAGACAATAAGTAAATAAATAAATAAATAATTAAACTGAGGGTAACTAAAACTACAATGCATTACCCAAATTCGTCTTTATATTTTCTTATGTTTTTAAGCTGAATTAGTAACCTCCACTTCCCCTTTCCTTCCACATTCATGTCAAGAACAGCAGTGTAAATGTGCATAAGGGTAAATTTTGTGTCTGAATTTACAGTATCACAATACGATCGTATATATCAGTAAATCAAAATTGTCTCACAGTTTGAAGGTATCTGGCTCAACAGTCACTGTAATATGATAGTTACTCTTACTCGTAAGTTGAATTTTCATGGTCATATAGTGTGTCTCACCAAATCTCTGGAATCTACAGCCTCCATTTCCCACAAAATGATCTGGCACTCCAATACCTACCTAAAAACCCAAAGGTACAAAAATTACTCAAAATTATAATTTTATCCATTGCTTTGTATGGGTGTTAAACTAGGTCTCTAACAATAAGGGAAGCGTGTAGTCTGAATATTTTTAGAACAGAGTGCTGGGCAAGGTATCTTGGAACCAGGAGAGGTGAAATAACAGGAGGACTAGAGAAAAATTTTGGGATATCTTCATAACTCTAGTTCCGGATTTAATATTGTTGGGGTGAAATTCAAGGAAGATGCAGTGGATAGAACACATAAAACACACGAGTCTGAGATCTACATATGGATCTATCGCTGAAACTTCAGGACTTGAAGACCTAGCCATTGTAGCAAGGTTGTAACTGAATGTTAAAAAATATAAACAAACAAAAAAGAACTCTGTGGTTTCAGTCCGCAAGCGAATTATACCAACCGAGCAACCGCCACTTGTCAGCGAAGTTAGTGTCAACTTTAGCATGTCTTAAATATTAATGAATATGTTACTATTACTTACACCTTAGGCAGTGTTCCTCACATATTATAGAAAGAAAAATGTCATTTAGATTTGAGATGTCCCATTCCTGTGTTATGCATCACAAAATTTTATTTGATTAATACGAAATATTTCATTTTGTACACTGTGATGTTTTTTAAATAATAGTTGAATTTAGAGTTTTTGAAATGTGAGATAGGAAATTTTAAATATACTGATTACGTGCCATAGGAGAGGTATAGGATGTGCTTGAATTTGACAAGCAATCAGCTGTATTAGAACGTAAGACACATCATGCCCATAACTGGTTAATGGTACATAGTTATCGGGAGTTCTTTCCAGAACCCACGTTTAATTTATTTCTGAACTGTCCTTAGGTATAATTTCTGGAGTTGAAAGATGTGATATTGTATTTTGTTCAGTCCTGAGAACACTAATAGTTAAATTAATATAAAGCTTCAAATTATCTTGCAATTATATACTTTCTTCAGTTAATCCACTAACAGTTCCTTGAACTCCTAAATGTTTTAAATAATAGACTAGCAATACTTTTGTTTATTAATATTCTTTTTGACTGTACAATTTTTCTTTACATATTTAAGTTACTTTTATTTTTTGCAACTCATTAATTCTGACACCTGGTTTCTCACATTTTCCTCCCCTAACCTGACCCTGGTAGTGGCACCTGGATATAGCACAGGTAAGAGAATTCAGCTGCTTCTGCTTCTGCTGAGGTGAGGATCACCTTGCTGCATGCAGGCTTTTCAGTAAGGGTGCATTTATGCTTGGCTAACATAGCAAAATATAGGAACTGGGTAAGGAAATAAAATGCATACATAAAGGGAAATATGAGGAAAAGTGCTGAATTTAAAGGGAAATTGCTGAATATAAAATGAAAGATATGACATACTCGTATACTAGATATCTGTTATAAATTTATTATAGGTGAAAATACTCTTCAGCTTTGAAGTAGTAGTAGTAAATGTCCTTAGACAGGCTACTGTTCTGTTGATTTGGAGTCTACACATTGTCTCTAGAAGCCTTCTTCATAGCTTTTCACCCAGTGGGCTTATAATGGTTAATTTACCAAGAGTTTAACAGATGGCTCAAGTGTTGACAGTATGATGATATTGCAGATGAAAATCGAATTTTGGTTTCAAAAAGTCATAGAGTTGGTATTGTTTTTCTGTCTTCATATTTTTGTAAAGTGATAGATGTACTTAAAGAATTATGAACTCATGGATCCAATTCAATTGCAGTCTCCATCCCTAAACGATTTCAGAACACATGGAAAGAGTGATTATTCAAAAAGAAATCTGCAATGTGCTTATACTCACCTGTTATGCAGTGGTTCCTCTAACCACCAGTGATGGCACTGTCATCCTCCATCACACACATGCCATTACAAGTAGTGGCAAAAACGAATTTGTTATCTATTTACAGTATATGTATACCAGAATCTTTCATCTATCAATATAATGTATTGATGGAAAGACTCCAATATATTAACTAAAACAAAATTGTATTGTTTTGACTTTGTGCTTGGGTTTCTGCAAGAGGTTTTCTCACGCAACCAGTAGATTATGTAACTGGCAAACCTCATTCACCATACATGTTTCCTAACTGATGAACTTGAATAAAAGTGAAGAATGGAACTAAATCTTTTTCAATTTTGTAATTATTTGCTTTATGAGCTACACATATTTTCAGATTAAATGCAATTCCCAGACGCTTCATGTGGAACCCATCTTGCTTATTTAGATTCTTCTGTAACCAAACATGCAGTTTAGTTATTGCTTTTGTTATTTTATTCATGTACAATAAAATTGAATGTCTTATGGAGAAATTGTGTCTGTCCCTCTGTCCGCCCATATTTCATCTATCATTTATAGATCTGGATGAATATTTTTATTTTGACAAATTTTAGTCAATTAAAATGTACATTTTATGTAGAACCCATCATATTATTCTTCTCTTATGATATTATTAAATGCTAGGAAATGAAAAATAATTTCTTATAACAACTACAGAATTCATTGAGGTGTTGTACATAAACTTGTATATTTTTATGCAGTTAGCAGCTGTTTTGAGATCAATTCTAACAAAGTAAGTGAAAAGTTAAACCCAATGTACTATTTGTAAACAATTTTGAAAATTCAAGAAAGATACACTACATGTCTCTATGGCAGTATTATTTCATACACACATTCATCTGATTGTTAGAATAGTTTGAAAACTTTTGTGCTTTGGAACAAGAGCTGTTTCTATTTCATAACAGAAATAGCAACATATTTCATGTTTTATGCCAATAAGGCAGGGAGTATAATATTACTGAATATGAATTGTATATTTGTTCTGTTAGTAACATGGGAAAAGGGTTTTTTTTATTTGTGTGGTGCAACACAATGCACGTTGCTATTGCAGTGTTGAGGAAGCAGCCAGTGAACCCCACAATTCCGATGAAACCATTATACTGGACCAGGATTATTGTGCCTCCATCAGGACAGCCAGCTCCTGTAGCCAGCAGGTGTGTAGTTTTTGCTGTGCCCACTTTATACTTCCTTGCAGGAAGTGTTTAGCCACAGTGTCTCCACGAAGAATCAATTCAACAGATGGGTGACCTGCACCAATAACTGCCAGTAAAAAATATATCCCTAAAATATTGTTCTGCATCAGTCATTTCTTTAGGAGCTGAAGCTGCCAGTAAAGAAAACATATTTGAAATACATAGTATTATTTTCTCCAACTTTTAGTCTTATGTGGTAAATTCATTAAGTTCGTGGACTGTGGTTTTATCGCATCATATTACAAAGAATTCACATACACTTACACAGATCCACAGCAGCCCTTAAAATAGTTGCCATTGGCCACTATGCAAGTCTTCCAATGTTGATATAGCTGCTGAAAACATTGCTGAAACATATTGGTAGAAAACTTCCATACGGCATGTCTTGTGGCATTGACGACCTCCTCGGATGACTAAAATCTACGACCACATAGCTTTGCTTTCAAGCGGTGAAAGAGAAAGAATGGTGTGAGATGAGGTGAGTACGGAGGGTGTGGCAAAACAATGACCTGTTGCCTTGCCAGTTCCTCTCGGACAAGAATAGAGCAATGTTCAATGACGACAGATTTTCATTTAACCTAAACTGCATTTTAGACAGATTTTACTGTACACGCAGGTGTGTGTGTGTGAGAGAGAGAGAGCATATGCACGTACATATCTATACTGGAAAACCAGATCAGACCAAATCAGGTGAGGCCTAGCAAAACCTTTTTCATTGCCCCACTTGATTCATTAAAAAATAAGGATACCTTGATACTCAAGGAGTTAAGAACTTTCTATAAGTAGATTAGAGAATGGTTGTTTTCTTGATGAATTATTAAGGGAGTCAATCTTAAACACCTCTAGATGTTTTGGATCTGTGTTTTCAGTTCAACTCCAAGTGTCCCTGCTGCTGGTACTGAACTGCTGTGGCACAAACTAGAGGAAGCTGAGATAGAGGATATTAAGGAGTTCTCTGACCTATTTTCACGACAAGTGGTGGAGCGCAAGCCAACAAAAAAAAAAGAAGATAAACCCTCCAAAGTGCAGGCCATGAAGATTCTAGACAGTAAGCGGTCTCAAAATGTGGGCATCCTTGCTTCCAGCCTTCATGTGGACTTCTCAGAGATTGAAAATGGTAAGTATTTTTTGCAATAAAATCCCAAAGAAAGAGGCCACCATGAGGAACTTGCTTAGATGGAAGTACTATCATACACTAAAATTTATCTCAGATAAATATGATTTTTGAGATATAGAATGGGTTGACCTGTCTCAGATTAATGTCTAATGGCAAGGTTTCATGAACACTTTCATAAATCTTATGACTTATAGGCACAGGGAATTTCTAGTACAGGTGAATAACTATAAGTTGGGTCCGCTATTGTTTTTGATTTATGTAAATGACTTACCCTCCTTTATACAGTGTTCTGTCCCATCACATACATCAGTTGTGCTCTTTGCCGATGATACAAGTGTAATAGTAAATGAATTAAATTTTATGCAGCTGGAAAAAAAACTTACTACAGTGTTTAGATCGATGAATGAATGGTTTAATTCAAATATGCTTTCATTAAATTTAGGCAAGACTTGCTGTGTAAATTTCTCAGCTAAACATAATTTTACCAAAAAATTAAATATTGAATATGGAAACAAAATTCTATTAGAGTCAAATGAGGTAAAATTCTTGGGTATGACACTGGATAACACAATATCTTGGAAAGGGCATATAGATTCAATTATAGGTAAATTAAATAAAGCCTGTTATATAATTAGGAAAACCAAACAGTATTTAAATATTGATGCCCTTAAAATGGTGTATTACGCCTTTTTCCACTCAGTGATGTCTTACGGTTTGATTTTTTGGNAAAAAAAAAGAAGATAAACCCTCCAAAGTGCAGGCCATGAAGATTCTAGACAGTAAGCGGTCTCAAAATGTGGGCATCCTTGCTTCCAGCCTTCATGTGGACTTCTCAGAGATTGAAAATGGTAAGTATTTTTTGCAATAAAATCCCAAAGAAAGAGGCCACCATGAGGAACTTGCTTAGATGGAAGTACTATCATACACTAAAATTTATCTCAGATAAATATGATTTTTGAGATATAGAATGGGTTGACCTGTCTCAGATTAATGTCTAATGGCAAGGTTTCATGAACACTTTCATAAATCTTATGACTTATAGGCACAGGGAATTTCTAGTACAGGTGAATAACTATAAGTTGCTCAAAAAGCCCCTGTACTGTGGAAATGATTAAATTATTTCTTGAAACAAGATACTGGAAATGTAATCAACACGTTATCATGGATCAATAAGAAACTTCTCAGTATAGCCAACGACCAAATTAAACTAAAACCAAATTCTAGTATCAAAATAAATTTTATTTTATGAAAACATAATATAACATATTTTAATAATATTTATTATTGTATAATGCAAACTTTGTAACTTTGATCTCTCATTTTACAAAGGAATGAAGGCTAAAAATACAGTATTTAAAAACAAACTTACATGGAGAATATGTGGAGCTGCAAAACATAAAATAACAGATGGAAGGAAATAGGCTCTGAGGATGTGAATTGAGTTGAAGTGACTTAGGATGAGGTCCAATTATGGGCTTCTGCGATGACAGAAATGAATCTGTGGATTCTGTAGTAACAAGAGATTTCATGAACCACTGAAAAACAGATGATCAAAGGAAATTCTCTACAGTCTAGTGTAAAAGTTAAAATTAGTTATATGTAAATAATTTTAATCCTTATTCTTAATTACTTTTCAGCAATTTATAACTTTGATACCTCAGTGGTGAATCTTGAGGCACTGCAACAAATTTATGAAGTAGTAAGTATTTCAATATTTCTAGTTATCTTTCAGATTCTTAAAACAGCTTAACAAAATCTTATATAGCACCAAAGAGGGTTGTTAGTAAATACTGCTTGTCTGTTATAAACAGAAACTTAATTATGTATATCGGAAGGGTAAGGTGTGCATGTAGAAGTTTACCAAATTTATAGCCATTTGTAACAAACGTTGTAGTGTCAACTTGTTTTACACACTCAATCTGGTTATTTAAGCCTTTATTTCTCCTTCTTTTCTGTCCTTCTCAATTTCTTACCCAACATTTTTCTTACAGCACTGCAAATTTACAATGAAGTAAGACAAAGAAAATTTCAGATAAAGTTAATACTTTTATACTGACACACAACATAATAGATGTTTACATATTCACATTCAGTACAGTTTAATATTACTGTGGTGATTATAGAGACATTTAAAAGTATTGTTTTACATGTTTGCTGTACACATACATACACGTAAATGTGATATGTATGGAATGAATGAATAACAGAGCTTAAAACCCTCTTTTTTTTATTGCTAGTGTGGTGGGACTATATATATATTTTTTTTATATATTACTTGGTGGGATGGGACTGAGTCCACTTGGTACTGTGGCCACTTCTGCCCTATTGTACCAGACCCAGATGATAGGTGAGGGTAATTGTGAAGCAGTTGGTGGAATGAAGATTGGCAGGGGAAACCGAAGTACTCTGAGAAAACTTGCCCCAGTGCCACTTTGTCCACCAAAAATCCCACTTAACCAGACCCGGGATCGAACCCGAGCCACCATCCCATCCGCTGAAATTCACCACAGACTCCAACAACAGTATGGGGAAGACTGTCTCTCACGGGCCCGTGTGTTTGATTGGTGTAAGTGCTTCAGAGAGGGCAGAGAGCATGTGGAGAATGAACCGCATGATCGTTGGCCGCGAACATCCATCACCAAGCCAAACATTGATCATGCAGATGCGCTTATTTGTGAGAATAGGCACATCACTATCAAGGAACTTGGAGCAGTGCTGTCCATCAGTGTTGGTAGTGTAGAAGACATTGTGAAATAGCACCTGCACTATCGCAAGGTGAATGCACGGTGGGTACCACACACTTTGATGGACGTGAACAAAATGGTGTGCATGCAAGCTGCCAGTCGTCTCCTACAGCAGTTTGAAGATGAAGGTAATGCATTTTTGAAGTCTGTAGTGACCACTGATGAAACGTGGGTGCAGTACTTCATTCCCAAGTCCCAGCAGTCATCACGCGAGTGGCGGCATATCAGTCCTCCCAAACTCAAGAGAGCGCGGAAGAGCCATTCGGCAGGAAAAGTGATGGCAGCGTTCTTCTGGGACTGGCAGGGGGTTATCCATGTAGACTTTCTGACAGATGCCAGAACAGTCAATGCAGCTTATTACTCGGACCTCCTGGCAACAGACGTGAAGGAAAAGTTCCGATCCAAGCGGAAGACAGGTGGAAAGCGGGTAGCCTTCCTTCAAGACTATGCATGCCCCCATATGGCCAAAACAACGATGGAAACCCTCCAGAAATTGAAATGGAACCTTCTGACACATCCGCCGTACAGTCCCGATTTGGCCCCAAGTGATTTCTACCTGTTCGGAAGGCTCAAATCAGACATTTTAAGGCATGTGGTTTGTGGATGACACTGTCATCCAGACTGTTTGGGAGTGGATACGCCGCCAACCAGAAGCCTTTTTTGAAAAGGGCATCAGGATGCTTCCAGAATGTTGGAAAAATGTGTTGACTCCGGAGGGGAGTACATTGAAGACTGACATGTGCAAGTAAGCGTTTGGCAATTACTGTTTTAAAAAAAATCAGTCCATCATATTTGAACCACCTTGTAATTTGATTCAACCTGGTCTGCATAAAACATACAAGCATACAAAGTTGGTGTCTTAAACAGCCAATTTAACACTGTTCAAGAGAACAGAACAACACACATGCATTTTATTCTTTTTTGAGAAGATTGGAAGCATAGCAATCAACATTTATCACTTAATATATATATTATTTGGATATGCAACATTATGCCAAGCAAGAATTTTTTAGTGGTTTTCTTGTTCTAAAAGAAGAACAGATGTCCCATCAAAAGTGTCACGCTTATTGTACACTTTTCAACCATTAGAAATAATATGTATGATTTAGTGTGAAATAACAGAAGATAACTCTTCATGAAATGGCTGAAGATGTAGAAATTTCACATGACTCATGTGAGACCATTTTAACAGAATCTGGGGAATTCCAAGACTGGAAACTGGTTAGGTAATGGCTTCAAGTTCAGTGGCTTGGCTTGGGCAGGGCTTTTTTATCATCAGCTTCAGACTGGCTTGGTGTCCTACCAGTCTACAATCCAGTGGACCCCAAAATTTCTTTCCTTCAAACATAATGTAGGTAGAATTTGCAAATTACCATTCACATCCATCTGCTGAAATCTAGGTCATAGCCAGTTATTTTTCACGATGTGGTGCTTAGGAACAAGGACGACCATCTTTTGCCTTGGCCAGGATGGAATGGAACTTAATAAGGCAAACCAAGTTAACAGAAGATGGTTCATGGATCAAAACATGAAGTGGTATTGAGACAAACAAGACTGATCAAACTACTGATATATTGTGTGTCTTTTAATCAATCTTATTAAAGTTAGAATAAATCTTCTTCATTGTTATGATCATTATTTGTGATTTATGTATGGAAAAAGTTTGGTGGTTGTACTTTGAGAACATTTGGACTCAATGCATCACTGTCTTTTGCAGAGGGCTACAGAGGAGGAGTTGGCTCTGATACGTGAACACGTGTCCACCAAACCAGAAGTGCCATTAGACAAACCAGAACAATTCTTACATGAGCTTGCAGAGATTCCTAACTTTGCAGATCGCATATCTTGCTTCATGTTCCAGTCTGAGTTTGATGATGGGATCTCTTCCATTGAGAGCAAACTCAACAATCTTAAATCTACCTGTCAGGTAACCCTTTCACTGTTCACTGACTCTCTGGCAGGAGAACCCAAACCTTCAGCACAAGCTATGAACAGAGCTGGTGTTCTTCAAATTAAAAAGAAATGTTAAAGAATATATAACCTGGAAAAATATCTTGACTGATTCTGAAAAATAAACCATCACTACGTATTATCATTAACTGTAGCACAGTCATCATCAAAACACTTCGCTTCTGCTTTATATACAGATTGCAATGTCTGTCATGCCTGGAAATGAAAAAATTATGTGGGACAAAATTGGGCATATTTAGTGAAATTTTGACAATAATATTTTCTTTCTGGCCAAAGCCACTTCACTGAAGGTTCTGTGTGGTAGGCACAGAATTTTTGTGCAAAATCCAATTGTGTAGCTATGCGTTGTCATAAAGCTTCCAAAATTTGGATGTAGGAGATCAACAGTTTGGAGGAATAAACACGCATATTAATTCATCTGGTATCAAGAAAGCCATTTAGATAAGTTCATATAAAAAGTTGAAGGTGTGCAGAGACTTTCGAAAATAACTAGAAATAAAGATGTCAAATCAGTAATTATCTGCGTTATCAGTAACTCAGTTCTGGGTATACAGTCTTGTGGATTATCAAAGAATTGTAGCATCATTTTGACAATTCTCCTTTCCCATCTACCTACTGGTATGAATTATGTTTCTCAAGTTTGCTTGATATAAAAGTTAACATAGTAATATGAGTAGACTCAGCTTGGAAGATAATTTTCAATGCACATATTCTACTACAGTTCTAAGGACTGAGGAGCTGGCTGGAGTGAATCAAACACCACCTTCCCACTAGTTTTCCATTTATATGAAGAAACATAATTTGGGTTGTTTGGATTATTTTCTCATTTCTGCTAAATACAAGTACATGCATTTCGTATTTTGTTAATGTTTAAATTTCAGAAACGTTTTTGGTAGAAGTGCTGAACTTATAGGTTATAACATATACTTGAAGTGGTGTCACCATCCTAATAGGCTGAAAACCACTGCCCTAAGTGGAAGTAAGTAGTCACCATACCTGTAATGTCTCAAATCATTATTTGACTTTGAAGAAAAACTGTCATAAAATTATTTTAACAGGACACATGAGTGGGACAATGAGATGTGATAGCAGAATGAAAAACCTCTTTTCCAACTTGGAGTCCAGTCCATAGGCAGTCATTTTACTAACAGCTATTATGGGCCATGCATACATGGGAGAATAATATTAAATTGAATCTTATCTTAAATATCATAAATATTTTAATTATGTTGTGTGGTACTGCAACATTGAATTGCAAATATTGTATTTGAAGCCTTAAACAGATGGTTCGAAGCCAATTTACTCTCATTAAATTTTGATAAAACCCATTACATATCATTCACAACTAAAAACAACCACCAAATTGATCTGGACATCAGTTATGCCAACAGATTAATCTGTAAAGTACTTGATACAAAATTCCTTGGAATACATATAGACAGTACACTGTCTTGGAAAATACATATTGAACAAATTATACCTAAACTAAATGCAGCTTGCTATGCGATGAGATCAATTAAGCCTTTTATGTCACAGGAAACATTGAAGATGGTTTACCATGCCTACTTTCATTCTATTATGAACTATGGATTAATATTTTGGGGGAACTCTTCACATAGTGTAATAATTTTTAAAATACAAAAGAATATAATTAGAATCATTACAGGATGTAGAAGTAGAGATTCATGTAGAGAATTATTTAAGAAATTAAAAATTCTACCTCTTCAATCGCAATACATATTATCGCTTCTCTTATTTGTTGTTTACAACAAAGATAAATTCAAATTAAATTCTGATGTCTATAACATGAATACTAGACAAAAATATAACTTCCACCTACCCTCATCAACTTTATCAGTATATCAAAAAGGAGTCTACTTTACTGGCATAAAAGTGTTCAACAATCTGCCACAAAGTATTAAAAACTTGGGCAATGATACTAAAAAGTTTAAATCAGAGTTAAAGAATTATCTACATGCTCATTCCTTCTACTCTTTAGATGAATACTTCAATGTAAATAGAGAATGATGTAAAATTAAGTTATATTAATTTTTAAGCTAAAATTGCCTGTACTTTTGACTTGTCCTGTATCCAAAGGTACTAACCTACTTAGGATTTATAGAATGTAAATAAATTCAATTCAATTCAATTCAATACCTTGACATAGAGCCCAGTATTTTGGGCTTTAGACTTAAAAATTTGAATTCTGTAATGCTAAGTTGATAGTATATGATGCATTGATGTCGTATACAAAATTTATGTGTTAGTTTAATGTATTTATTGCTCCTCTTACAGTTTCTGACAACATCAGAGAGCTTGAAGACTGTCCTGGCCATTATTCTAGCCTTAGGAAACTACATGAATGGTGGAAACAGGACCAGGGGGCAGGCTGATGGATTTGGCCTAGAGATTCTTGCCAAGTTGCGAGATGTGAAAAGCAAGGACAGTAGTGTGACTTTGCTGCATTTCATTGTCCGTGCATACATGAAGGTACAGTTACATCTCATGAGTTGACTTTTTCATTCATTTATTTGTTTATCAACTTTTCATTTCTTCATTAACACAATATTTATTTATGTACATATCAGTTCTTCATTTTGGCTATTTATTTGCTTACATTTAGCTTTTCCATATTCTTTGATGGACTGAATTTGATATTGTATTTTTAAATTCATGTTCCAGTCCAGTGTTGAACTCACTCTGATAATATAAAATTAAATAAGATAAGTTTAATTTACAGATTATAAATTGTGAAGGAATATGAATACATAGGAATATATATGAATCAATTTTTACAGTGAATCAAAACAAATTAGATGTGGTAGGTCATGAGAGGCTGAAGTAATTTAACATTCAATGTTTAATTTACTTGTTTCTTTCTGTTTATTTCTTAATTTACCTTTGAGATCGAATGATGTTAAACTATGTGTGCGAAGGTGTACTCCAGCATATTTTATTAGTTCTGATGTTTATTCATTGCAGATGCAATTATAATGGTGCAAAGCTAATCATATGCAGATATCACAGTACATAGATTCATAAATTATTTTCTTTCTTGAAACTTTTAGGGTGTATTACCACTTAGGTTTTTGCTCATATTTTGTAAAAATATAATAATTATTGTCTGAAACAGAAGTGTGAAGATCCTCTTAGACCTGGATTGGCCTTACCCATTCCAGAGCCAGGAGACATCGATCGAGCCATGACAGTTCACTTTGACGATGTTAATGCGGACCTTCAGAAACTTCAGAGAGAACTTTTTGGTATGAAATGAGAATGTTTCTTGCAATTATTATGAAGACTGTTTTGTGTGTGTGCATGCGTGCGTGCATGTGTGTGTGATTTCCTTACAGTGCATGTCCCATTTTTTGTGATGAACTTTAAATGCTTTTCTTTGACTTCATGTTATTGCCTCCATTGTTGTATTCATAACTTCTATAGGGTTACTTGAAGGAAAGTTTCTGTAAAATAAATATGCACATAATTTGGTAACTGAAAATTATATTTCAGTCAGAAATGTAATGCATTTTTACACCGACTCTAACACAATCTCTGAATAATTTCATGGCTTGAGGAAATTGTGCATACTTTGAGAATGTCACACTGAATATGTATTTAGGTGTAAGGAAGTATTCTGAATGGGCTGTGAAAGTTCAGGGTATTATATTGTGTCATAGGAACGTTACAATGTGATGATGAAGAAAATCACTTGATCATTTATAAACATTTTCTTGGGACTCTGCCTTCCCTTCAGAATCTGACAAAATGCTGAAAATATTGGATTTGTCTGTTGATCCTTCATCATGTTTCCTCATATTATTAATTTCGGTCATTAAATATGTTAATTTATTTATTCACTACAACATAATTGATTCTCACTGTAAAACTTTGTCTAAATTTCTTATAATCTTCATAGCTGCTGTTCTATTGCAATTAATATGTAACCAGTTTGCTTTAATTTAAAGAAAATTGTACCCCTGTTCCCCATATGATATCAGAAAAACGCCGTTTGCATATTTTCGACATTATGTATATTTAATCTCCTTTGAAAGACAATACCACATTCATACTCCTTATATTGAGCTATTACTTTTGTGGGATTTGCAGCGTGATAGTAAGCGGAATGTTCCCACACTTTTATATAGTTTTAACTACTGGAAATTATGTCACATTTATATTATTTGAGGCCTGTTCTGTTACAGTCTGTGAAACTAAAACAGAAAAAGTTATAGCTGCTTCAACAGAAGAGAATGTTCAGCCATTTAAGGACAAGATGAACAAATTTTTAACCTCAGGTAAATTGGTTATTTGATAATTTTTTTATGTTTTATCAGCTGCTCAAGTTATGCAGCATCAAATAAGATGTGATAGGATGACTGAATTAATACCTTCCTTATTTTTACTTTATCTAATTACTCTGTCAGCAACTCAGACCATACAGTGTCAAATGACTGATAGTGAATAATAGACTAGAAGGGATACAGAAGTGGCTGCAGCCTAACAGAATAGTACTATTCAGGCATTTGCCTGCAGGAACTGACGAAAACCATAAAAAACCTCAGCAGGATAATCCGTGCCAAGGCTGAAATTTGAAGCAGCATGTCCAGAAGTGTTACTGCTTATAGCACATTGATATATGTGTAAAACACTAATTTTTTCTACTGTGTCTATGAACGTGATACAAATGTTTCATGTTTTAAATAAAAGCCATAATTACAGGTAGTTTAAAAGGAAATACTGCAAAAGATATTTATACCTAAAAGAGATAAATTAAGTTGAAACTGTAAGTTAGAACATGATGAATAACTTTATCATTGATACAGCTTGCATGTGGTTGTTAGGATAGTTAAATCAAGGAGATTAAGACGGATCTTACACTTAGCTCGGATGAAGGAAACAAGTGCATACTGAATCTCAGGAAACCATTTGTAGGCTGCCTTCTTAGAACAGCCAAGAGGGAAGGAGGAAACTGTCCAATGGCAGGCCTGTATGTTACTGGTGTTAATGTCTGAATTTTATGAACAAAAGAACCTAGGCAGCTGATTAAACACAAAAATTTTGCCAGCAAACTTGTGAAAAGTAAAATGTCGCAGCTGCCAGTGTATTGTATATTTCAACATTGAGGCTAAAACTAAGCATGAGAGCACCTGCAAACATGGTTTTAAAATCAGCACAGGTTAAGCTGATACAATAACAGTGTATGTACCAGTGTTTCATGTGTTATATATAAATAGAATCAGAAGGTACAGTCATATTACAAAGTTATTTTGAATAAACCTAATCTCACTATTCCATAAATGAATATTATTAACATAATTGGTCATAAGTGTGTAAATTTGTAATGTATTTAATTCAGTTAATATAGGTAATTTAAATAAAATTGTATTAATTCAAGTTTTATAGTAAGTTATTTTTTAATTATCTTATTAAATTTTTTACTTTATATTATTATTTATGTTAATCGATTAAAGTAAGCGATTTTGATTATGTGACTCATGTAATTTTGTATATGTATCTTGATATATCTGTTTTCAAAGGGACCATCTCCTCATCCTAGGTTTTTTACCTGTATGGATATATGGAAAATGAATGAATGAATGAATATCTCACACCATAATCTGCCACTTAACTACATATAAGCAAGGAGTATTAATTGGGCTCATATTTATCAGAGATTTCATGTTTTCAGCAAAGAAGCAATTGACTGGAGAAATTGAAAACCTTGAAGAGTGTAAAATGAAGTAAGTAAAATGCTGGCTAAGGTATATTCCAAACTAATTATTGTTTCTTCCTGGTACACTTTACAACACTGCTAGTTACTGAATTCATAATGTTGATTGGTAGGTTGATTATGAATGCTAATTATAGCATACTTTAAGGCCCAGTATTTCCTTAGATATATAGAGGAAAACCATAAAGACCCCAGTCAGGAAAACCAATATCTGGCAGATTCCTGAATCTGGACCTCCATTGGTGCCAACAACTTAGTTAGTGCCATTTGTCAAATGTTCTTTGGACATTCTGTTATTTGAATTTGAGATAATGTGCATGGAATATCCTTGCATTATGATATCAGAGCATTATCATAAACCTTCATAAATGCCATATAATGCTGATATTACAAAAAGTATTGTCATTCTTGGGAGGTGGATGTAAAAGACAATGCTGGTAATGTACAATATATTACAGACATATTTTGTGTAAAATATTCATGAGTTCACTTTATATTTAATGACCATTTTCCCTTAATCCAGCTGCATATTTTGATAGCTATATGATATCTGCTGTTTTAGATAATGTTAGCTGCTACTTACTAGCTTAAGTGCATTAGAAGAAAACATGAATTACTACTCTTCCCTTTTTCTATCCATTCAAATTCTTAGCTGTGTGGACAGTTGGTTTGTAGCCAAACCTCACAACTCCCCTTTACAGCTTGAACAGTTACTGTTTGGTTTATTAAGGACTATGCACATTATGCAATTATCCAATGAAAACTGAATAAGCAAGTATAACTTATTTGTTCAATTATAATTTGACAGCATTTGTTTTGAATATCTTTGAATTGATTTTATGCAGTATTTTCAGAAGGCACAATCAGTTGCTTAAATAACGCATGTTAAAATGAAAACTTAAATGTATTAACCTCAGTAACAGTTGCCATGTTTTGTCTCAGACTTTTTCAGTATTCGTTTGAGTTACTGAAATGTATATGAATTCAAAAATTTAGTGTTCTTGTAATGCTGTAGTGTGTGTTATCTAATTTGAGTCGCAGTTAAGAAATAGAATCTTATTTTTAATAAGAATTTAAAATATTGCAGTTAATCAAAATACAAACATCCAGAATGCAATTCTCACATGTGACCAGACATGAATGAAGATATTAGATGTCTGTACAAAGGAATGATGCAACAGCATACACAAACCATGCTGCTACTGAGTTGGTATAATTATAGGGGCTGTACATTTTACAGACACTTTCTTCTGGGATACTTCTTGTTAAATTGGACATTCATTCCTGCTGCTCTTTCGTTCTCGTCCTGACCATTAATTGACAGTCATCTGAACATGTTATATATGCGGCAATATAAGTATAGCAACTGCAAGTGATGGCATTGTTGTCTATTTCTGTAATTTCAAACTGGCATTGATGCCACAATTTCTGTGACTGAATGATACCTTATTTTTATTACTGTGTCTTTGGCTCTTATTTTAGTAATTAAGATACCAATGAAAATTTTCATCGCTGTTAGTAAAAATTTCGTATTATTAATTGTGATGAAGTTTTGAGAGAGTTGAATTGTTTCTAATAGGCAAGAAGGCAGAATTTATCATCTGGAGATTTGTGCTGTCCCTGCCTCTACACCTCTGTGAAACATAATGAACCAGGAAGATATATGACACATCGACTTTTCTTATTTTCTGGGGGATTTTCAGATTGTCTTGAATCTCGTACCCCAGTACTGCTGAACGTTACAGGCTCCTTCACTCAATTTCTCTTCATCAAGCAGAGTGGTGTAGTACTAACATTCTAGACTTACATCTGGTAGGTACCCAACTTGAATTTTGGTTAGTTTGATGGCCCTTCTGGATGAGGTACTTTATTATTTTCCTCAGTCTGTCCAGGTGAATTCTAGGACAATATCTTGAAATATGCAATTACTTGCAGCTCTTGACTCCAGACCTATATATCATGGATAATCATCTTTCTGTTTCAACTGACATTATGCAACTACTAAAATTGAAATATTCATATTAAAATAATGAATCAGTCTATCAGATTCCTTCCTTCCATTGCTTTGTAAGATATATTATTACTATTACTTTTGTTTTAGTACTTCTACATTTTCCACTTTAAGTCTCAGTCACTTAGTCATCCACAAGTTCCTTACAACTCCCAGAGTTATGAAAACATAAAACATAGTCATGAGTCCCATGGGACTCAGGACCAAGAATGACGGTGCTGGCACAGACTAATAGCAATTTATCAAGCAGGGAAGCCAGTTAGTTGACAGTCATGAGCCATGAATTGAAAGTTGATGGTCAGAAGCTGGAGGTCGGATTTGGCAGTGAAAATCTTGAGTTGCATTGTTAGGTGCTGCTACCAAACTACAACTAGTGAAGACTTAGTGTTTGCAGCAGTAATCAATAGAGTGTGTAAATTAGTTACAGTGTTATAATTATTTATAGCTATGAGTTACAAGCATCCAATAAATCCAGTTATCAATCCATATCCTGTGTCTAGTCGCTAACACGTGACAATACCAAAACTGTATTTTCTCTTATAAACAAGGAAATTTACAAGAACTCTGCAATAGTATCCAGTAAACAGTGTTTTATTTCACGTTCAAAGCGATTAAAATGTAATGTTACTTGTTCAGTAAACAGTGTCTTTTCACATTTAAAGTGACTAAAAGTCAATGTTGCATGTTCAATAAACATTTTTTCTGATTTAATGTAACCAAAAATTAGTTGCTCTGTTCCAGATTTAAAAACACTAAAAGGTAGTACTGCATATTCAGTAACTGTTTTGTTTCTTTGTTTCAGATTTAAAACAACAATGCAGTTCTATCAATATCATCCAAAGGGTGGTGTAAATGAAGATGAAGTTGATCCAAAGGATTTCTTTGCCTTATGGTCTCCATTCTGTTCTGATTTTAAGGACATATGGAAGAAAGAACAACAAAGACTGATTAAAGAAAAGTAAGTTTGTAAGGAAACTACCACAGTCACCAGGTTTGAGACAAAGTTTTCTCAGGAGACCACATACATCATTATGGATAAGGTACAAAGATAGTTATTTAATGCCAAGCTGAATATGGTACTCACTTAACATATCTCCAGAAAGCCATGTTAGGTCCACAAGAAAAGTTAAATGCCATTCAAAGAGAGAAGGACTGGATAGATTCATAGCTAAGCAATTTATAGAGACAATTTATGGGATCTGTGCCTCAGATGACAGTATTATATAAACAACAGGAGTATGCAACATGCAGATATGACACCAGATTGGCGTCTCTGATCTGGTTTGTCAGGTTAGGCAACAAGGAGCTGGTTGGTGCTCATATGGATTTACACTTAACCATGCCCACTGTTCTTTGTAGACCTTATAGGTACAAATTGACATGACTGATTGCCCAAGAAAATGTTGTTACTTTCAATTGTCATAACATGTAACATCTTAGAGGATTAAGATAAATTAAAATAACATGAGAACAACTATCATAGTAACCAGGGTCCTGAATTTTACAAAAGAGGATAACAGAAAAGTATTATTGGCTACAGAAATGGAATGCTCTTTATGATATAACAATACAGACAGTCAGAAAAGGCAGTTACAAAACATTCATAGTTAATAGGTAATTATTAACAGAATAATAAACAGTCTTCATAATATAGACCTGTACAAAAAAATCATAAAATGTATAAACTAGGAACAACACAGATGATTGACAGAAACACGTACAGAAACATTGGAAATTATGCTCCTGTGGTGGTTAACCTTTAAACGCCGGACTTCGAAATAGTGGTAAGCTTGAGTTGGCCGGAGTTTATTTAAATGCCCGCTGCTGGTGCACGTTTAAATGCCCGTTGCTACTCTGCGTTTAAATGTCCGTTCCTGTTAGGCGCTTAATCAATTTTAAGCATTGTGTTTAAAAATGCTATATCTTGCTCAAATTTTATGATAAATGGATGGTATTAACTTTGTTTATATCAGCAAAGAACATAGTGTCGCATATTATAACGGAAGATTTGAAATTTTTAATACAAAGTTTTATACTCTATTTTCAATTTTTTGTTTTAATTTTGATGCGTACTGCAAAAATGGTTTCCCAGTCCTTCACAGAGTTGTTCTGCGTTATAAATTCATTTCTGTTTGTAACACTTGACGAATTTTTAGCAGTCCCTGGTGTCATAAAACAGATGGAAGCTATAAAATCATTTGGTCTTCTGCTAGCCCTGCTTACACTCTTCGGATTTTCGAATCTTTTGACTGAAGGACAGAAGAATGAAAGCATGGGTATACAAGAGAAACCTAGAGGGGACCCTTCTTCAGTGCTAAGACCTTCCGTTAGAGCTGCAAAAGTTTATTGCCCCTTCTATATGAATGAGCAGACAGCTGCATCGTGGCTAAGATACAGAGTGTGATCTGTTTTCTGTGCATTCGTAGTGAAATCGAATACTGTAGTATAATTTCAGCCTATACAGGGTGTCCCAGGAGGAATGGACCAAACTTCGGGAGGGTGTTCCTTATGTTAAAGTATGCCGATACAACCCAAAACACCTATGTCCAAAGTTGAACGGTTACGGAGATAATGGCCAGAGAAGTGTCAAACTTTGACCGGTGTTACACACTTGTTGATTACAAAATACATATTAAAACTGGCAGGAATATGTGGATTCTGTAATGTTAATAATGTACGTAACATCAAACTAACTTGTGAGTGACGGAAAGCCATAAAATTGAAGTACGAAATACTCGCTCGCCATGTCATAATTGTCCTTGGGGTTTCCAAGCACTATACATGACACAT